TTGTGGAATAAAGCCATGATCACTAAGTAGTTGTGGGATCTGAGCAACAGGAAGGAATGTTTGTGGGTCAAATGGATACATATGTACTATATAAAAGGCAGATCAGTATGGGATTGCAGAGCTCCAAATGACAGCAGTTGGCATTGGAAGAAACTAATGAAAATCAAAGAGGTTATGAAAGCAGGGATCTGCAATGGTCAATGGTTGGGAAATGGTGGTAAGCAGTATACAGCAAGCAGTGGATACACATAGTTGAGAGGTGAACACAGAAAAGATCATGCTGCAAAGGTAGTATGGTGTTGTTACTCAGTCCCAAAACACAGATATATAAGCTGGTTGGCTTGGAAACAAAGATTGAACACTGGGGAGAGGTTGCAGCAACTGAATATTGTTGCTGATACCATAAGTTGTGTTCTATGTGAAATAGAACCTGAAACTGCTCATCACTTATTCTTTCAATGTGTGTTCTCTAAAAGATTGCTGGAAATGGTGAAAGTTTGGCTGGGAATCAATGCCATCCCTAACCAGTTAAATGTCTAAGAAATGCTGCAAGTATGGAGGTACAGGAAGATGCAACAGAAGGTACTATATGCTGTCTTTAATGCCACAGTTTATCAGGTTTGGATAGAGAGGAATTACAGGAAATTTAGAAACATGAAATGTGAAGTAGAATGCTGTTTTAACAAAATTCAGCAGAAGATTAGATATAGAATGCAATTTTGTTTAAAGATGAAAACATTGAAAAATAGTGAGCAGCAGTTTATGAGAAGATTAGGGCTATATTTTTTACAGAGAATGTTATTGTACATTGTACAGGAAGTTTGTGATGTGATCAATGAAATTTACACTACAACAAAAAAAAAAAATCAAATTGCCTGACGTAGGGAGTAGTATGTTTGAAATAACTACAATATCATGTTCTAAACAAAACATAAGTTGGGAGGCAATCCAAAAAACATTAATAATACTTCTTTTGAATGAGAAAAAAATAAAAATAAATCAGTAGTGTTCATATAGAAAATGATGGGCTAGAAATGAACTTGTGTCCCACGTGGTAAAAACATAAGACCTAAGACCTAAATGAGAGAGATTACTAGTTGGAATCTTCACTAATATGCAATGCAAAGGCGCGTTCCCCTGTTAGAAATTGTAATAAAGCGAAAATTAACTGTGGGGAAAAAAAAAAAATGAATCCATGCATGAAAATCCAACATACTCTCTAGCCCAAGGAATTATTACACATTACAATCACGAATAAACCCAAAAATTCACGAATAAACCATGCATTATAGTTTCAGTGATAGGGTCACGCACTATCGCCTTAAAATCATAGAGCTTTTTGACACTTGCCTTGTCATTTTGTTCAATGATTGATCCATTTGTCCATTTTAAAATCGCACAAATCTCGTTGTCAATCTCATTCAAATTAGGTTTTTTTTTTTTTATGCATGTCTCAATCATAAACAGAAGTTTTATCCTACTGATTGTGATTTAAAGTACATATTAATCATACTTCTCTAACTGTTCAACTTTAACTATTCAATTTCAATCTCAAACTAATGAATAGAAATGCTTCTTCGTCACTCTATCCCCAGATGATTCTTAACTTACGTAAAATTTTAACTAACCATTTTTTTTTTGGGGGGGGGTGTGGGGGTTGGGTCATTGCGCATGTTCAGCTTAACTAATCAGTTGAGTTGGCCTTTTTTTTTCTCTTACGTCTTTAAGCACGTAAGGAGAGAAATGTTTGCAATTTAGCATGGATTGTAAATGTTAAATTCAATATCGTATTAGAGATCTTGTAACATGAAAAACGTATTGTCAGTTTGTCACCTTTATGAAACGTATTTTTCTTTTCAAAATTATTGAATTGTGTTACATCTATATAATACTCTTACTGTCATATGGTTAAAACTTAAACGTCTACGTGTAACTCCGGGATAATATTGATAAATTGCATTTGGACAACCTTTTTTCTTTTCTTTTCTTTTTTTTCTGGTTCCCTTTCTTGTTTTCTCTGTTGACAAGATAGATTGTTTAAAGAAGATTATATAGTAGTAGTATATTGTTTCCATGAATTGAAATCGAATATTTCTAGGCTTTTCATTGTTTTTGTCTATTCTGGTGGCGGACGGTTGTTATTGACTTACTTCTATCCACTAAGACTTGTCGATTATGAGTTATGGCATTTTTCTCCCGTTCACCGTTGTAGTAGACAAATTGATTGGTTAATGCAATTATATATGTAGCTCTACCGTTCAATAGAATAGTTACCAACGTCAGGAAAACAATTTGAATGGGTACTAGTACTACTAAAGAAGTACTGCAATATGTTCATCAGTTATCTTGCAACTTATACTCCTTTGGCTCCGAATGAAATACTTTTACTGTTTTTGAGACTAAAATCGTATAATATGAATAAATTTTCTGCATTTTCTTTGTGGAGGGACGGGGAGTGCTATTTCATATTTCATATGCCTTAACAAATTATTTTGAACTGAGACGAAAGGGATATTATAAAATTCGTGTACATTGTGAGATGTCGTATTCTATTGCGTGATAGTGCAAAGTACGTGTTGAGTAACATCTATTATTAAATAGAATATAAGATCGAAAAGCTTAACATCCATATTGTGCGTCACAGGGGAAAAAGAAAATGACAATCAAGCAAAAGATAATTTAACATTGACTTTCAAGATGAATCCAGATGAAAACATGTAAGAAAATTACTTTTCACCACTGTCTAGAAGGATGAATTTAACAATTTCACAGACGAAAAGAGAGGCTATCAATTGCCAGATACTCCTTTCGGTTCTTAATATAAGGTATTTTGATACGTTCTAGGTTTCACCTAGTACGTATTTTTAATTGACGAAAAAATCTTCAAAATATATTTTCACATTTGTCAAATTCTCTTGAATATTACGAAATATGTTTAAAGTTTTTTCGTCAATTAAAAATGCATACTATGTTAAATATATAACAAATAAAAAATGCCTTATATTAACGACCGGAAAGAGTATAATAAACAGCCATTTACGCAACAAAGTCAAAATCATGTGAGACGATGTTGCAGTTTGTCAAATTATGTTATTCTCCCCCAATAATTGTTTTTCTTAAAAAAAAAAAAAAGGAAGAAGAAGATGTCTTCTAATTAAGTGGTTACAGTCCAATTTCTACATCACGTAATTCTTTTTATAATTTTCTTTTGAAAACATATCATGTAGTTTGAGCTGAAAGTGACTTGTTGAAGTACATACCAGGAGCACGAGCCTCGCACGTGACGTGTTTCTGTTTAGTAGTCTTTTTCTTATAGAACACCCCCACCTTTTTTTCCCCATAAATGTCATTGTAACACTTATACAGTTATACGTGTCGCAAAATGGCAAAATACACAAGGTTTTTAAGGAGCTGACTTATGATCCAATACTTGAACAAGTCTATTTGAAAGATGAATAAACGTCAAAAAGAACTTATGTGAAGTGAGGTTAGTATGAAAATTTACAATTAGACAATTATACCGACAAAATATTCTAGTTTGTTTACCTCTTTAAAGTCAAACTTTTTTTGGGAGACTGGATGAGAAAAAGCAAATATTTATCTCATTTCGTAAGGCAGTTATTTGAGATTATTAGGCTTTGTCAAAAAAAAAAAAAATATATATATATATATATATATATTATGAAATATGATTGAAACAGAGAAGAATTTAAAAAAGCATTTCTTTGTCTAAACCTTGATCCACGCCTTTGTATGTAAGCAAAGTTGTTTTGGAAAAAGAAAGTACGTACCTATTCCAATCACCATGATTTTGTGAAACAGAAGGAAACACACTAGATGAATAGTAACCATTTAAGATTCTTACCATAGTCATTAAAATGTAGAAATGTACTCTCTCCATGTCACAAAAGTAGTCAACATCAAACTGTGAATTGTATTATTTTTGTCTAAAAGAAAAAGTCCAGATTGAGTTTGAGATTTGTACTGAAACTATAATACAAATATCAAATTCAGTGTGAACTATTTTTCTTTTTTGAAAGAAAGTAATATTTTAATAAAATCTATAACACACAATGTGAACTATATTTCTTAGATGGAAGTAAACTTAAATTTTATCAAATAATCTTCATTCTCAATAGAAGATTCGTGTAATTTTGCATAGATCTTAACTTGGATGGTTATGGTCAAAAAGTCCATAATAGTTCACTCATAAAAGAAAATGTCAATTTGCATAAAATATACTATTGGTCTGAAAATGATTTTCAAGTTGTATGAAGTTTCATTTTCTTTTCAATTTTAATAAAATTTGTAATAAAAGTGAAAAAAATTTGAATTGTACAATCATTTGAGAATGAAAGAAGTATATATGATTATGAAACAACATAGAAATTGATGGCCTCTTGGTCGGCAAAAACGATGAAGTGAGTATATCCAACAATATTGCTCATGCGCAATGAGATTTTACAAAGGATCATTCTGTTTTGTCATCAATGGTTTATAACAGAATTCTCAATATTTCATTTCTTTTCCAATATAATACGATGTCAAATGACATACTCACTCGGTTCCAAAATGATTGTTTAGGTTGAGATTTCACTTTTAGCACAATTCATACTAAAATAAATATCTAATTAGATAATTATTTCGATATAACAAAAGTAAAAGTTTTATTTATTGAAACGAATCCTACCTGCTTATACGACTGTATGGCAGGAAAAATGTTTCTGGGAGATGCCTGATGAAAATCGATCTCAAAAAGGCTTACTACTCAGTGGAGTGGGATTTTATCGATGAAATGCTTAATGCTTATGGATTTCCAGACTTGACATAAAAGAAATTAGGAAATGATCTTTTCGATGACTAGATAGGGAATGATTTGTCTGATAACTTGGCAAAAGGCTTTGGAGCCTTGTCCAGAACTCGATCCCAATGGTGACAATTTTCACCCTAGTTTGTTAATAAGTACGAATATGAACGCACTCACTTAGAGTTTTAGTGTACTCTATTTCAAACAACAATCACATTTATAATCTTACCAAATGCCAAAAAAGAATAATTGACTAATGACACGGCAAAGCTCATTACTTCAGGCAAGTGTCAAAAGCATATAGGCGCAACATTTTACAAGAATGGTCGGCTATGGCAATCATCATAAAACTAGCAAAAGCAAAGTTAACAACATAGAGAGTGTACATTTCATCTCTTTCGTTCAAAAATTCGATGTTAACTGTGGACCAGTCTGAAGACTACTTTGAGAGGGTAAAGAAACACCTGCCTGGTTATAGAGCACCATGCAGAGCACAAAATCTTTCCTACTACCAAGTCAACAAAACCACTGCATTTCGTACAGACTACAGACCATATACCTTTCATATAAAGAGCCTACAATCTTTTCTCAGGTCCACAGCCCCCAACATTTAAAATAACCAAATAGGTTCCAAAACAGAAACAAACCCAGCCAATACTAAAGCCTCCTGTGAAAGCAGACCAAAGAATCAGCAGCATTTGCGTCAAATTTTAAGCTGTAAAGACCTCAAATGGTTTACATCTCATGTGTCAAAGTACAAACATTTTTGTACTTGATCAGGGCAAGGTAAACTAAATGTTCCCCTTCTCACAGAATGTATGGAAATATAGAGCCCTAAACAAAATGTGCTGCCGATCAACGGTTTAATTTTCAATGATTGAAACTCACGCAAAAATTTATTACTTAAGCACACCAGCATCCAAAGGATCATTGGAGTTGCGCAAATATCCACAAACATTGCATTCCATGACTGTAGAAGGAGTCATATCTGAAGGAGGTAAAGGAGCTAATGTGCCCCAGCAATTTTCTCTGTTACACATGTACTCAAGAAAGAAATAAGCATGTGGAAAATCACTCGCATCTTCAGCCACACCCCCATATTCATCAGCCACCATTTCTTCATCATCATCCTCATCCATGGCTGCCTCGTTCTCATCACCAAAATTTTCTTCTTCCAGCTCCTCCTCCTCTTGGTCTGACCAATTAGCCTCAACCTTACAACGGTCGCAATCACAAATAAAACCGTAATCCTCCTTAAGTCTCCGTTGCCTTTCAGCATATTTGAGGTTCACAGGGAAGTAACTCACACAAATTTCACGGCCCACAGGAACATCATGGATTACTCTCACAATGATGTCAGTGTTGTTCACATCAGCAGGTGTACCATCAACATAATCAAACCTACAAGCATTTGGTAAGCAATCATGATTAAAGAAAGAGGCCCTCGGGTAGATGCCATAGGCCCTAACAGATCTTTCCTTATCAGGGGTGAAAGGCTCCATCAAGCCAAAAGCATTAAGTTTGTCCTTGGCAAGCAGAGCAGCTGTTAGTTCCAAAGAGAAAGAAAAGGCAACAGCATCTTGATTTACAGAAGGCAATAGGAGAGATGAAACAAGTGAATGAAGAAAAGTGGTGGAATTCGCTGTTTCTGTTGAGTTCAGAAATAGAGATGGATCACCTTGGAGAGACAACAGTGTGTGAAAATTGGTAGGAGAGACAATTGCCAAGTTATAGGCTGCAAAGAGAAAACACATCTGCACTTGGAGGTCTGTGGAGCCCTGGAGACGAGCTGATGGAAAACTTTGAAGTTGTTTTAGGGCTTGACAGACCCAAAGTGTGTGGGATGTAGATAAAGAAAGTGATTGGCAACGAGGACTACAGAAAACTGACAAAGAACAACTCGGACAAGGGGAACATGAAAGCTGTGCTCCGGAGACTAATCTGAAGCAGTGTGAACAATATTTAAAGTTAGGACTTTCCTTGGAACTTTCAGGAGGCGTGAGCAAAGGGAGGGCCGAATATAACAATACAGGAGAATCCCTGAGGACTATTTGGCCAGCCCTTAGAGGTACAGATGACACAAGGGCCCTTCCCTTCCCGTCTACTTCAACAATTCTCACTAGTGAAGCAGAAGTTTCGGCTGTTTCTGTCATTATTCTGCAAAATCACAAGTCCAAATTCCTTCCTTCTCACTGCAATGGTTCACCGTACAACAAAAAGTTCATAAACAAGTACACCTCAGAGGCTTTTCAACTATCTAGATTCTGGTTTCAGTGGCTTGAAATGATACACTTGTGATCAATTTCTGACCTATAAACAGAAAAAAAAAAAAAAGAAAAGAAAATCTTGAAAGTTACAAATAGGTTGTCAGATTAACCAACAACGAAGACAACAGTACAGCAAAATAAAAAACGAAAACCTTTAAAGTTACAAACGGCCACCCTACGCCAAGGATCAACAAACAAGTTTCATGAACCGAGGCGATACAGCACGCCCAAGTTCCACAGAACATGCACATGCAATGCACTCATGGTTCGCACCAAGGCACACAAGCACACTCACAATCCTTGCATATGCGAATTACGAAATTCCTTAAGCAAAAATTAAAGAAACACAATAAAATAAACTTTCAGAAAAAAGAAAGGGAACACTCACCTTTTCCTCCTCCTGCTACAGAACATACTTGGTGATTCTAAGCTATCAAAACATTCACTGGTTTAATCTGCATTTCATTAATAAATGAATTTATAAAATTTACTTTCTTTACTAACTAAATCCTAAGTTTAGGCATAGTCCTAGAGTTAGGTTAGCTATTACACTTTTAGTTTAGATTCCATTTACCTTATCTAATCAGGTAATCGACAGTTGCACAATCTAGCGTACACCAGTTTTACTACAATCTAAGTTGTGCTATTATTACTTTACGATCTTTTGCTAATTAATTACTGACTTAAACTTAGCTACTAGCTGCCAAATCAGCCCATTCCTATTTCGTTCTAAACTAGTATCATAGTTAAAATAAAAACAGTTCCTTTCAAAGTAAGCTAGTTAGTTAATCAATATTTCAAATCATGGACTTCCTTATTACCGCTGCCATGGTTCTATAGGTTCAGATTATTGTAATGATTATAGACTATTCTGTTTTACAATAAAATTTAGTAAATATTGGATGGCTCAGTCAGCTAAATCCTAAGCTCACCAAACTCCAGGAAGTTTAGAATAGCTAAAATGCATCAAAGCCATTTTCAGAAGCTAATTTTTTCACTTTTTCCTATCTTCAGTCATCATTCTGAAGTTCGCTTAATTAACTTTCAGATTAATCATGCATCTGGGAATAGGTTATGGAAACTCAATCTTTTTCTTAAAAAAAAAAAAACAAAATTAAACTAGTAACCTTAGTTTAGTTCCAGAACCTGCGAACCCACCTTCCCCTGCTTACCCTGCTCTACCCAACTTTCCAAGAGCAAATTCAAACAAGCTCTCATGCGAATCATTCCCCCATCAACTATTTTGCCTCGTTCTATCCAGGCAATCCAACTTCTTAATCAAAATTAATGCACCCAAAGACGAAAGTACAAACATTCCTAACCGATCTTGGCTCATATGATTTTACATACCAACTTCAATTCGGGGTTAATTAACAAAACTAAACTTATATGTATTCGCTTAATCTATATTAAAGCCCGAGTCGAGGCTAAAAAAAAACGAAACTAATTAAAGCTTACCTACTTCTTTTCTTTCCCGTTCATTTCCTCCTTCGGCTCCCTTGCTAAATTCTTGCTTCCACCCTTTAATTCATATAGGAAAATAAAATGGTGTAAGGTGGCCGTTGCTGAAAATGGTGGACAAAATGGAAATTTGAAGAAAGAAGAAAAAGAATGAGGGTTGACGAGGGGTTAGGTTTTGGGTTATTTGGCAAGAAAATTTTAAACCCAAGTGGGCTGGACATGAAACAAATCTGTGCACAATCTATAAAATAGAGATAGTTGATGTTGGGCTAAAAAACATAGAAGGCATGGTTACAAGAAAAAAAAAAATTAAAGTTCCTACACTATCGAATTTAATACTTTTAATCTCTTTGTGTCTTTCCAGTAGCTTGGTTTTATCTAAACCTACTTACTGTATTTATTTAAACATATATTTTACTTAATTAGGTTCTAAAAGTTTTGGGTCTCACCACTTTTTGAAACAATATTTTGAAAGATTTATAAAACTGTTTGAACAGTACAATAGTCAGAAGCCATAAAAATTCGGGCAAAATTAGTCACAAAACTATGAAGATCCAAAGCCTTAGATCCCCCTAAAGATTCCTTTTGATTCCAACAACATGATCACTTCTAGTTTCAATTCTCTATTATGTTCTGCAATTCCTAAGCTACTACTAAACTTCCAATAAACATTAAACTATCTCAAGGCCAACTAACATTCTTAACCATTTATTCATCCCATGGAACTTAATAATCTAAAAGTACTTTTAGCTAAATAATTATTCCCTTCATCACAAATTATTTCTTAATTCAAACCAATAAATTGACTATTGAATATTAAGCATATTTACCTCCTTTGGCTACTGGCACGTCCTAGTATACCCAGTTGCTACCACTCACTAGACAATCGAATCCGAAGTCGGCACAACCCTTCAAATGTCTTTTCTCCTCCTCTCTCAGTTCTAATGACCCTAATTCTTCACAACTTTTGTCTTTGCCTTTTTTTTTTTCTTCTTTTTCCTTGGTATTCATCAAAAAGTTTCTAAGTTTCACTTCACCGGTGGAACTACTTAGTGCTAAATTCACGTTTCTCCGTTTTATGTTGGGAAATAATTGCCTACGATTCTCTAGCACCTAATTAAGAGGAGGCAAATATGTCTTTAAGGAAATCGTGTTTGCATGAGTCTCAGATTTTCTAACTTCTTAAAGATGTCGTTGTTCTCACAAATACCCCATTTAATTTTTCCAACAATCTTAAAACATATATTTTTTTTGATATGTTGTATTTGTGATCGAAATTAGAACGGCTGGAAGCACGCCCAAAGGGAAATGTCTTTTTCTTGTAATCTAGATCATGTCGATTTGATTGATTGGCAAACTAGTCAACAAAGGTAGACGGAAGGGCAAAATGACAGAAGTCGGCTTTATCATCGATCGATGAGGAAATCGACGAAACTGGAAAGAATGTGAAGTTGATGATCGTAGAGTTTTCTGTAGGATTTTATATATCGACAAAAGGATTGACGAACGCTGGAACAAATCTCTAGTTAGACCAGCTCCAATTGGCAGGAGAATCAGTCAGGAGACTAAAGGCTCTTCTTCTGGGATTCAAACAGCTCAGTACAGGAGAAATCCAGTTGCTGAATACAGATTATGGGGAAATAAGGAAGTACAGGAAGGTGGTCCATTGGGGGTATCCCCTCATGGATAATCTTCTTGTATGGAATATCAGGGGGATGCACAGCCACCTGAAACACAGAGAACTTAAAAGAATAGTCTCTGTGAATAAAGTAAACATAATAGGGCTAGTTAATGTGAAAATAGATGGTCCATTAAGTATTATACCTAACTACGATGATCATTACATTTATTTTAATCACATAGTGGTAGGATGGAATCATGGTTATGTGGGTATCAAAGATGATAGAAGATTAAAACCAAAATATAGTTCGGATCAAGCAAGAATATGCACGTCGACTTTGTGACCGAGAGAAGGAAGTCAAGAAAAGGGTCGACAGTAGTTCGTCGACCTTTCTATCACCCGACGCCAAAGCCGACGCCAGAACCCTAATTTCCGAATAATGGGTTTTCAACAACTTTTCTTGAAGTTTTACAAGATTTTCGGCCTTCCACATGTCAAATTAGACTCCAAGAAGGATTTCCAAGGTGGTGGACAAGAATTGAAATTTTTATTCAAGAGAAATTATATTTTATTATGTTTTTCTTTTTAGACCAGCCTTTGTTTCCTATTTGTGTTGGGTTTTGAATTTTCCTTATTAAATTTGGCCCTCACACGTTTTTTCACTTATTTTTAGGATAATTTTAATATTAGATAATTGTGACATGTGCAATTATTTAATTATTTCTTAATTTTTAAGTTTAAAAAAACTTTTAGTCCAAGAAATCCGAATAAGAGTTGTAATCGGATTTCTCTTTCTTCCTGGCCGACCTGGACTCTTCCTTGGCCTATAAATAGAGCTCTTGGTAATGGTTTTGAGAGAGAATATGATATGACTTTAATAATGACGAGTCCAAATTAATACGGCCCTCGACTAAGCCGGCCTAAGTTCAGTGAAAGGTCCAACCGGCCTCTGCAAGCTTCTAGGTCGGTTCTTAATTGTGACGACCGCCAGTTTGGCGCCCCTCAAAACCAATGTTAATACGTCCATCTATTTTAAGTTATAGTTCTAACTAATAGGAAACGATGTATGCTGGGTGCGTTAACAAACATAAAGTGAGTTGAACAAAGTAAAATAAATATTGTGGTTCAAAATAAAATAATAATAAAATTGAAATAAAAAAATTAATGTCCAATGAGTTTGGCATTTTCAATTAGTCTTCTCATTGTTTAACTAGCTATTTCCCTTTATTTCAATTCTGCCCTCACTCTTCATTTCCGGGACCATTTTTAGAACCCAATTTCTGAATTCTTTCCCCCAACCGACTTAAAAAAAAATATATAGTAATAAAAAGATTAAAATAATAATAGCGATGATAATGATAAAAAAAAAAGAAAGAAGAAGAGAAGTCTATTTGGCCTAACTCTCCAGAGTCATCGTCGTTCTCATCTCTCCCATTTACCAATTCATCATCATCATCAATTCCTCCCTCCACTCTACTACCCGATTCCCTTTCCACCTACATCACCACCCTTCTAAAATTGAAAACTGAACTTAGAAAAGAAAGATTAGGCAGCAACCTTTTGATTAATGTAAACCAAAAAAAAAAAAAAGAAAAAAAGAAATGAAAGGCTCAAGGACGAAAAAGAAATGGGGAGCTGCCGAGCTAGGACAGAAGAGGAGAGAAAGCTGAATTAATGACGGAAAGAAGGAAGGGCGAGAGAGGAGAAAAAAAGAAAAAGAGATCAGGTAACTAAGGATTCAACTATTGGTTCATAATTCGGAGTTTTGATTGTTCCATTTCGGCTTGGATTCTTAATCAGATTTAGCTTCTTAAATCGGAAGCCATGGCTGGTTATTTAGTTGTTTTTTTTTTCTTTTCGATATGCCTACACTTGGCTTCAAGGGTGGTAGGTGTTGATGCTCTGTCCGCCATAAGAAAGAAGAGGATGGATTGGAATTATTTTAACAGTAGTTTCTAGTCGTTGCTGCCTTCTTGTTACGTGTGAAAGTGTCGGCTATCATGGGTGGACTAAATTGTTGGGTTTCATAATATAATAAGTTGGCATCTTTTAATTCTACTACTCTCGGTTTGCAAATCCAGATTTAGAATGGATCCTGGAACTAAAGCTATGCCTCCAGTGATGCTAGGAACTTATGTAGATTGTCGATGTTAAAAGTAAGCTACTAATAAGTGATTAGGAATTGTTGGTTCCATAAATTTTAGCTTTTAGTGCTTAAAGAAACTGATTTCCCAATTCCTTTACTTTCCCATTAGCTAACGTTAAGTCTGGAGTTTCATTGGGCAACTATGCCATACTTGGTGACCTGTTTTGGGTTAAATTCCATAATAGTAGACAAAACAAATGTAGATTGTAGCTGAGTTGGTCTAGGATCCCTATTTCTAGTGTTTTAGGAGACATAAAGGCTGGAAAATAAATAAAAAAATTAGGTTGGTTCCGAATTTAGAATTAATACTAAATTCTTACATAATCACTTTGATATTATGAAACTTTAACTAACAAGTATATACTTGAATAAATGGTGTAAAGAGTAAACGTGAATTTGATACCACAAGGTGGGTTTGGTCAATTTCGATAGCTTCTTAGAGTTGAAAACATGTGCTTATTCATTGTAGGAAAATATTGCAGGTCTGGTTGATCTCCAAAATATTATGCTTAAGCTGGTAGTCGAGGTGAGCAACCTCACTGTTTATATAACTGCATGTCAAATGACTAGTGTAATATAAAACAAGAGAAGCATGTCTATTATTTATTTTATTGATCCTTGACTGGTAACATTGCATACTATGATTGTCCCGTGTGTGTACTTTATCGCACCGGATATGTGATTGCTATTTATGTCTTCCTGTGAATTAATTATCAGACTTGAATCATTCATATTTAATTGAGTGCCATAGAATTGTTTAGTGGTCCCCTGTTGTGAACTTTTCATCTGTGGCAAAGTGGAAAGTGTTGCTGTATTGAATTGTTTAAGAATGTTTGAGTGTCCAGTGGCCATGCGTACTTTATCACATGTGCCGAAATTGTAAATGAGTTTTCTACGTGTATATCGAGTCCTGCTTGCAATGTGTGCATGCTACCAATGGTTAGTCATGGATCTATGCACCCTTCTAGTTCAAGGTAAGTCCATACGTGTCGACACAGGGCCAGGACGTATTGGGTATTACCACTAGGAGGTTGGTTATCTCGAGATATACCTTCAATGAATGAATGATGGGGCGTTGGTTGTCGAAATGTTTGAACTAACTATTGACTGAGTGTCGTCATGTTTCATGGCAAGTTTTGAGACTAGGTAGAAGTTCTTCCTACAAGCCATTTAGGCAGGCTAGAACTTATATCTAACTCACTCGTATTCTTCCTTATACGACTTGTTAAATGTTTCTGTCACGGCTCAAGGGAGCCACATAATAAATGTATGACATGTCATGATCTTTATTATTGTCTATCTCTTTGTATTTCCCTTCTGTGATAACTTGTTTGGGTACGTGGTCACATAGGCTAATAATCTGGCAACAGTGAGACCTCGCTGAGCATACGCTCATCAAAAGTATAATTTTTCTATTACAGGAACGAGAAAAGTTTATATCCTGCTGGCAGCCTGTGACTGCAATTTTGCTTGATTAACAGCGTGAGGGCTAGATTTACCTTGTAACTTAGACATTTGTATTTTTGAA